GAATTCAAACGTGATAGTGTGATTGCTTTATATTTGGCTGGAAAATCACAAGTGGCTATCGTTAGAGCATTCCAGCGTTTAAATGTGAATAAATCTTTTGTGTCTTGTACCACAGCTCGTTACCGTGATACTGCTACCGTAGCCTGACGTCAAGAAAGTGGACGGAAGAAAACAGCAACATCCGCAGAAATAGTTCGAAAAGTAAAAAAGCGACTTGTTCGAAACCCGCGTCGCTGTGGCCGAAAAATGGCTCGTGAGCTGAAGATATCGCAATATTCCATTCGGCAAATATTGAAAAATGAACTCGGGTAAAGCCATTGAAATTCCAACACAAAGAAAATAGACTTAAAAGAGCTGAAGAGTTGCTTCGCTTGGCCGAAAGTGGTGAACCGTAGAATTTGGTTTTCTCCGCTCCGATGAGAAAACATTTGTTGTCCAGCAGTTTGTAAACAAACAAAATGATCGTGTTTACTTGCCAAAGAGGTCAGCTAAAAATGTGCACCTTCGGCTGGCCACCAGAACTCAAGCACCGGCCATGGTGATGGTGTGGGCCACCATAACAGCCTATGGTCGCTCTCCGTTCGTATTAATCGACTGTGGCATCAGAATAAATGCCGAATATTATCGCGAAAATGTTCTGGAGGGTGTATAAAAGCCTTGAGCACGCAAACATTTTGGCCGTAGACCTTGGACATTCCAACAGGACTCAGCATGCCCAAGAATGGTTACAAAATGAGGTTCCTCGCTTCATTTTCAGCGCACAATGGCCACCAAAATCTCCGGATACCAATCCATTGGACTATTGTCTCTTGAGTATTTTGGAAAGCAAGGTTGGCACTAAAAAAGTGCCAAAGTGTCGATCACCTCAAGCAAGCGCTTCACCGGGAATGGGCCAAAATATCACAGAGCAACATTCGGACAGCGTGTGACGGTTTCATTGGCCGTTTGAAGGCCATAATTCGTACCAAAGGTGACCAATTCGATCACATCTAAACTTATTCTAAAATTTGATGCTATTTCCGATATTTTTGCTTTCATTTAATAAAATTAAAAAAAAAAATGTAAAAAGTATGGCGTTTGACTTTGTTGCAGTTTTTTTTATCTCACCCTGTATATGGGAGCTTTGTCTAAATTCGAACATATTCTCGCCAGTTTCAATAGGGTTCATCCATGGGACAAACAAATCTTGTTTGGAAAATTTAATCTCAATTGGATAATAAATGAAATCTGTATTTTATTCACAAAAATACATGGACAGACGTTGAATACCCTCTATTTGGAACGAATTTGACCATTCTCAAAAACAATAAGATCCGTTAAAAATTCTATTAAAATTTTAAAAATACAGAATATAGCAGTTATTTTAGGGTCTATACGGTGAATAATGTCGCTAAAATCATAAAAATACCGAATATTGGGAGGTACCGTTATATGGGGGCTATACCAAAACGAAAACCTTCATTGTCCATTTTCAATACCAAAAGTCCTGCAGACATAATATACATTTGAGTAAAATTTTATCAATCTACTTCTAAATCGACATAGAATTTTATGCTGATCAAGAATATATACTTTGAGGGGTCTAAATGTATATTTCGACGTGTTACAAACGGAATGACAAACTTAATATACCCTTCATACTATGGTGGAGGGTATAAAAATAGCAGAGGTGTACCATTTAGTACCAAACATAGCAGTTTAATACATTTCGTATTTTTTATTTTCCATCCTTCCATGGCAGAAGAATACAGGTAGATGCATCAACGCTTGGAAGCATTGATATGTCAAAAAATTTTAAATGTTTTTTCAAATATGAGTAGATTTTTAAATGATTTCTTATATGACGTCATTCGAAGGTTATTATAATTCGAGCTTTTTAACAATTTTTACAAATTTAAATAATTTTTCATTCAACATTTTCAATTCCAAAATTGGTTTGACAGTTCATTGTCCCTGCATCACTTTATCCATTCGTAAATTTATTTTGCTTTATTAGTTTCAATTCATGTAAAACAACTTTATTCTTGATTTATTTCCTTGTCTTAATTTGGGAAAAGGGGTTGGAAACGTCTAATTACGATACTGTTGATGATGATCTCATTTAGATGGCTGGCATATTAAACGGAATTGCTTCAGACAAAAGAATTTCAGTTTCACAATCAAGGCCATAATCATGTATGTAGGTGGGTAATTGTCATCCACCAACCTAATCAATTCGATACAACATATATTTCTAATGCACTCCAAATATACATGAAAATAGCTCTAGTAGAACATGAGAAAAATTTCCAAAAAATAATTACATAAATTCTACAAATGATTTGCAATTGATAATATTTACCCTTCCATATTTCTCAAAACTCCTCCCACAAATTTCCATCAAAACGCTGGTAAAAATAACAGTAATGGTCATCTAAAAAACATTTTGGTAACTATCCAGCCAGACACAAAAACAAATGTTGCCATTCTAATTTAATGATGACCAAAACAAAACTTTTTAATCTTTCTTAATTGGATTAAGTCCTTTTCAAAAGGTGCTTCCACCACCAGCCATGGCTATGCGAAGAGTAGTGCAGAACATCAATATTATCATTTTTGCACAAACGGACTGGACGAAACAAACAATAACAAAAAAATGGAACTTGGAAAAGGGATATTAAAACTGTTGACCATAACCAACACAACAAAAAAAAGAAACTTTTAAACCATTGTCCAGTTCACATCACCAAACTGAAATCCTCTATATGGCTATGCGTTTCTATGTTTGTAGTATGTACATGGGCATGCATGTGTTCCATTTTGTCATTTGCCAAACGAACGCTTAATTTTCTCTTTCTGTGCTGTTCATTTGCTTCCATTTTTCCAATTGAGATGTTCTATTCATTGTCAGTCTATGTTGGCCGAACGAAAGGGAACGAGAGAGGGAGAAAGTGAGGGACAATGAAAACACATTTGTAGACTGAGATTCCTTTGCTTGGTTACCATTGTTGGCTTGTATATCCTTGCGGACAGCATGCAAAGGTTACTAAGCTCAACAGCTTTTGGATTATTAAATGCATTTAGTCCTTCAGAATGATGATGTTACGGATTTTTAATTGTCAATGTTTCTACATTCTCCTCTCCATGAATTCTACACAAATTGGGATTACATGGAAAATTTAAACGGCTTAATTTTTTTGTACAGCTGCATTTGTTACACCCTTTTAGTCAATTTTTTATTGTTAATCCTGAGCAAGGATTAGACAATCGTTGACAAAGTTTTATGCAAGAAATCGCAACAGGTGGAAACTAGGAACGAAGAAAATTGAATATCTTTAAGAAAATTTATGTTAAAACCTTTTTTAAAACTATAATTTAGAGATAAAAATGTATAGTATTAGTACAAAAATCCAAGTTATATTAAAAATTCAACTGACAAGCAATTATTTAATGCTACAAGGCGTGTCTTAAATATAAGACATCTGAAATCGAACTGAGTAAGACCTTCATAATAAATAAGATAAATCGATACCTTTACAATGGTAGCCCAAAAATTCCAAACAACTATCTGGACGACAATTTCCCTTCAAGGACCACAACATTAAACACACTAGACTATCTTCTAACAATACCTACACCTACAACAATGTACAATATGAGTGCAGCATTTAAACTTGTACTTCACTACATACAGGCGCTTCCGTTTTTACGATAGAAATACGGACAAGGCTTACTCTCACAAAGGAGTCACATTCAAATAATCACTTAATACAGCTTCCACCATATTGAGACTTAATTTAATTTTAATTCCCTCCCCTTATAAGAAGGCTTCTTTCCAAAGTTCCTACATTTAAATCAAGAAACACTGGGATTTAATGAAAAAATATATTCCTTCCTTATATTTCATATGGATTTCTTTATTAATCCTAGGAATATGGTTGTGAATCTCCAGAATATCTAACATTTAAACAACTCTACGAACTTCAAATACCCAAATTTGAAACAGTTCCGGTGAATAACGTCGCTAAAATCATTAAAATACCGAATATAGGGATGTTCCATTATATGGCGGCTATACCAAAACATGGACTTGCATAGACAATTTTCTGTCACAGGCTGTAGTATTAATTACGAACATCAAATACCAAAATTGACACAATTCCGGTGAATAATATCGCTAAAATCATCAAATATCGAGAGGTGCTGCTATATGGGGGCTATAGGAAGGCGTGGACCTGCACGGACAATTTTCTGTCATAGGCTGTAACTTCAAATACCAAATTAGAAACATTTCCGGTGAATTATGTCGCAAAAATTATCAAAATACAGAATATCGGGAGGCATCGTTATATGGTGGCTATACCAAAACGTGGACCTACATGGCACATTTTCAATACCAAAAATCCTGCAGACATAATAGACATTTGAGTAAAATTTTATCAACCTACTTCATTTTGTTCGGAAGTTAGAGTGATATGCACCGACGGACGGACATGGCTTAATCAACATAGAATTTTATGCTGATCAAGAATATATGTACTTTGTCTAAAATGTATATTTCAAGGTGTTACACAAAGAATGGCAAACTTAATATACCCTCCATACTATGGTGGATGGTATAAAAATGAATATATCCACCATATTTTTAAAGGTGGGCGAAATGAAAAATTGTGATCCGTCAAGGCTTTAAATTTCATTTCTGAAATTAATTATTAAATAAATAATTAATTGAAATATTAATTAGCACGATTAGCACGATATATGTGTTGTAATGTAAATAATTATTAATATAATGAATTTTACCCCGATGGCGATATGTATTCTGAATTTTGTGCCACATTCTAGATATGGCATAAGTATTTAACATCAATAAAATAATTATTTCAATATTATTGTTTTCTGTTTATAAACATCTAAAAAACTACTCTAAATAAACTTATTTCCGCTAAGGGTCCATAAAATCCCCTCATGCATTGTTTTAGGGTTAATATATACGACATTCACAATAATCGAGCACAATCATTCACAATAATGTTTACAAAATACAATCTGGTGGGGAAGCATTTAGCACAACCCATAATTAGCAGAACTATTTTCTGTCGTTATAAAAGTATCTGGAGCAAAAATTCAATCGCCACCGACATGCCAATTAAAGCAGCTTTAATTGATTTAAGTGGTACATTGCATGTCGAAGATCAGCCAACACCGGATGCTGTCAATGCACTGAAAAGGTTATTTAATGACGACAGTACCCATCTAATTTCCACTAAAAACTAATTTATTTTTTAAGATTAAGAGAATCCGGAATATTTATACGATTCGTAACAAACACAACCAAAGAATCACGGCAAACATTGTTGCAACGTTTGTTGGCCATTGGTTTCCACTTGGAAAAGGATGAAATTCACAGTTCCCTAAGTGCTGCAGTGGATTATGTGAAAAAGGAACAACTGAATCCGTACTATTTAGTTAGTAAAGATGCCCGCACCGATTTTCCTCCTAATGACAGTGAAAAGCCATTCGATTCGGTGGTAGTGGGTCTGGCACCGGATGAATTCCATTATGAAAATCTCAATAAGGCTTTTAAGTAAGTCACACACAAATAACGTTGTATTATTTAATGAAATTTAACACCTGATCTTAGTATTTTACTGGCCAATAAGAACCACAAATTAATAGCCATACATGAGGGTAAATATTACAAACGCAAGGATGGTCTAGCCTTGGGTCCTGGATGCTTTGTAAAAGGCCTTGGGTACTCTAGTGGTGCTAAATCGATTTTGATAGGCAAACCCAACGAGTACTTCTTCAAGAGTGCCATAGATGGAACGGATATTGCCATAGAAGACTGTGTTATGATCGGTGATGTATGTAATTGAATAGAATTGTTATGCCAAAACAATAATTTTAAAAATATCGAATTTCAGGATACCAAAGACGATATCGTGGGTGCAATGAAAGTGGGCCTTAAAGGTATTCAAGTGAAAACAGGAAAGTATTTACCCGATGTTGTTGCCGAACCACCACCTACGGTATTGGTCGAGAACTTTTCAGAAGCTGTAAGTTGGATTTTGGAAAATAAGTAGAGACACAAAATCAAATGCATATAGGTACCAAAAATGTGTGTTTTGCAAGTTATTTTGTAGTTACATAATAAGTAATGATTAAAAATTTTATTTTAAATTACTGGTTTAATATTATTTATACAAAAATAACAGAATTTTATTTGGTCAAGTTTAAAAATAATTTAATAGCGAGGGACAAAACTATGTTTCAGAAGATTTATTTTTTAAAATATCTTCACCATACAGGGCCGTAATGGCCACCAAACGTGAATCTAAATAACTGTGCTCAATTTCACAGCGATTTCCAACGCCAGCCAGTTTAATAATCTGCTTCAAATTAGAGTTGCGCGGTAGGAACAATGCCACATTTTGCGAAATGTGCCTTGCCGCTTCAACCAACTCGGATGCCTTGACTGGCAGCAGATACTTTTCAATATCATAATCCTTTTTGTTTTTATATTTCGGTCCACCCCAGGGTGGGCTGAGAAAGACAGTATCAGCTTTTAACTTACCCGTGGAAGCAATTTGAAGAAAATCTCCGCATATGAATTCTATTTTGTGCGATACATTGTAAATCTTGGCATTATGTTTGGCCATTTCCAATTTAAGTGGATCTATGTCGATGGCGATTACTTTGTCACAAGTCAATGCAAATTGTATGGCATTTCCTCCACTGCCACAAAAGCCATCAACAAGAATACTGGTTTGTAGACGTTCAGCCAAATGTTTTGCCACTTTTTCGGGGGTGACAGAAAACCAACTTTCACGGTCAAGACGTATGCCCTCATCAAAACGGGAGAATAGACTAAAACGTTTACGCCAATACTTGAGCATACCTTTTTCTTCAATAAGGAATGCTGGAATATTCTTTAGTTTACGATTTTTCTTTTTCTTTTGGGATTTCTGCTGCACTTTTCTAATTGCATTGTTCTCTGTGGCATGCAGCGATGATGAGTCGTTTTCCTCCTCTTGCAAAGGCGGCAAAGTACTCGCCGAAATATCTTCCATTTCAGATTCGCTAGATGTGTTCTCAATATCCGACTCGGAAAAGAAATCGCTAAAGTGTAGAGTTTTGTGCAGTTTTTTGGATTTCTTAGCTGAATTTTGTGGTCGACCCCCAAAAGCTGTTGGTAAACCTAAAAGTTTTAATTGTTCCAATTCTTCGGATAAGTTGTTATACTCATTCGATGAGTACTTGTTATTGTCTTCGTCTTCCTCCTCCTCCTCTTCGATTGCTTCTTCAATGGGTAGTATATGTTCTAGGGAGTTTTTTAATTCCAAAAAATAATTGTAGAGTATTGTTGTGTAGAGTAAATACTGTTCAAAATAAATTTCCTCTCTGTGTTGATCCCACAATTCATTCCAGCTTTGGGAATATTCTTCTTGTGCTATTTGATTGTCAACGCTGCTTTCGCCTGACTCCACAACTTTTCCCCCTTTTATAGATTCCAACTGTATGTCTTTTTTATCCAAATTTGCATCCCCTTCTCTTAAAAATTCCTTGTACTTTTCATTCCAAGTCTCCAGTACAATATTCTCACCCTCTTTGTTCCAGTATTTCATCCAATTATCCTGTTGCCATTTATCAAAGTCCTCTTGTATGGAATTTATTAACAAACTATGATCATCCTGCTCATTAAAAATTTCAGAAAAGCCAAAAAATTGAGGTACTTTTGATTTTGATTCAACAAAATGTTGAGTCATTGTCTTCCTTTTCACTTTGCTGTGCGTGTAAGCTTATCACCGAAGGCTTACTGACTCCAACATACGTATTTCTAAATTCCGAGATATCAATTCGCTGGCTTCATTAACTTGGAAGGCAAACCAAACGTTTACGGCTGGTTTATAAAGATTTTTAAATTGTTGCAGTAAAATCCCTCTGTTCCCGGATTGTACTCGTTCCACCACCCCTCTGGAGGTAAGAATCTCTGTACCTTGATTTGGAGATTTCGGTAACAGTTTGACCTCACCTAAAATTTCATAGTATTTACCATGTTCCAAGGTGGAACAAGTGTTCAATGATGCCGCTGTTGGAATAAGTTGTATTTGTAGCGCTCCTTCGGGTAGAGCGTATTCTCTGCGCAAGAACAATGGCTTGGAATTAATATAAACGTGGGTCATATCCATCGTACTTACTCAGAAATGTGTGGAATTCGTACGTTCTCCAGATAAACTTCACCAGTTGCAGAAAATACCTTCCCAATCAGGCGACATTTACCATAATGTAGTGCGGAATAATCATCCACCAGCATCAATTCCTCAACCAGTAAAAACTTGTGATAATTACAGTACTGTGGAAGATTTTCTATAGTTTCAATATCGGACAATATGGAAACGTTTAAAGACATTAGCCGGCAAGTTAATCCATCAAGCAGTAGAACTAGTTTATTTGTGTCAAATGCGTTCATTCGTTCCTTTTGTTTACAGCCAGTAACTGTCACACATGGATTTTTGTCTATTGTGAATGTACACAACTACAAATGCAAACACAAGAAATGACAACTGTCAGACGCCATTCACAATAAATTGACTTGCAAAAATTTGTTTGTCATTCCGCATTAAGGGGTAAAATCAGAAAATCATTTTGTAAAGTAAAGTTTGTTCAGTTGCACCGCCACAATCCACAATGTTCCGAAATCAATATGACAGTGATGTTACCGTTTGGAGTCCCCAAGGACGTCTTCATCAGGTGGAGTATGCAATGGAAGCCGTAAAACTTGGTTCAGCTACAGTTGGCCTCAAGAACAAGGAGTATGCCGTGTTGGTTGCATTAAGCAGAGCGGCTTCCGAACTGTCGTCATGCCAGAGGAAGATAATTCCAATTGACGAACATATGGGCATATCCATATCTGGAATTACTGCTGATGCTCGTGTCCTGAGCCGGCACTTGCGTACGGAGTGTCTCAACTACAAATACTCCTATGACACCACCTACCCAATTTCCAGATTGATTTCATACCTTGGTAACAAAATGCAAACCTGTACACAACGTTATGATCGCCGGCCATATGGTGTTGGTTTGCTTGTAGCTGGTTATGATGAAATGGGACCTCATATTTATCAAGTCGTCCCATCAGCAAATTTCTTCAACTGCAAAGCCATGTCGATCGGCTCCCGTTCGCAGAGTGCTCGCACCTATTTGGAACGTCACATCAACAGCTTTGCTGAATGCTCCAAGGATGAACTTATCTGCCATGGTATACAGGCTATACGTGGTTCATTGCCCAATGAGGATGTTTCTGGTAAGGAAAACAGTTCATTGCTTAATATCTCGGTGGCCATTGTCGGTCGCAACCAGCCATTTAAAATACTTGATGATGCTGAAACTTTGCACTACTTGGATATGGCTAAAAAGATGGGTACAACTGTTGTCACTGTGGAAGATGATCCGGAATCAACAGGAAGCGACGAGGACAAGCGCCCCGCTGAAACTCAAGATCAGTAAAATATAAAAATTCAAATGTAATAAATAGTTTTCGTACTGGATTAACATTTCTTAAAGAGTAATTATAACAAAAACAGTAAATACATGGAATAAAATTCACAAAAATCTTTAAAACAAATTTCAGAAATTCTTCTTTTTTAAGTATTTATGTCTGGGCTTTTGGACCCATTACCGGAATATCATACTTTTGGGTCCAGATAATATCCCAGGATATAGGATTTCTACATTCCAATTTTATGGCAAAGCAATAATGTCTGGACCCTTTACCGGAATATCATACATTTGAGTCCAGATATAATCCAAAGGTATATAATTTCTTCCCTCTAATTTTGTGAATGGAAAATTCTGAGCACCAAACGTTTTTCGCATCATCATCCGGCCAGCTGCGGATTGCAGTTAAAACAATGCAAATTAATTACTCTTTGCTTTTTTCTTTAATTGTGCTTTCATTCATGAAGAGTTTTCCCAATCACATTATGATTTGGCATCTCGGGAGAAATAATTGGCATCCAACTGTTAATTTCATAATAAATAGATTTTGTAGATATGTAGCATACCCCCTTTTCTAAAGACACAAACCAATCCATTCTTCTGCAAGGGCTTCTTTAGTTTCTGTAGAGAAAGGTACCCGTTTATTCATCACCACAGACAAAAAAATAAAGTGCTGTATGTTCTCTAAACAGTTGAAGTTTTAATTGCAGTTGTGCTATGAACATACATTTTTAAGGATTAAGATATAGGATAGGTTTATATTTTTCATGCCCAGGAGTCTGGCTTTCAAATGATTGTCTATACATGGTACAGGCTAAAATTTTGTTTAATTGAAATAAAATCAATTTCTTTGGCCCAAGGATGAACCTTAAAAAATTGTTAATTATGGGCTCATAATGGTTTTGGAACACCTAGCCTAGTGGCTAGGGACCTAGTAGTCCCGGTGTGGATTTAGACGTAACACCCGAATATTTTAGATGTTATGTTTGTCCAATTATGATTTATTGTGGATAATCAATTTGGATATAGCTTTAGCCCACATATATTAGTCTGTTCCAGAACTGTAAGAAGGTCCGTTTCAGAACTGCAAGAATGTAAACGATTTTACTACGATAACCGATTTTTTCCCGAAAAAAATGCACAACTAGTACATTCTTGCAGGTTCTGGAAAAGAGCATATATGTTTATGCGATTGAATAATTTTACTCTCCCAACGCCGTAATATGCAAGAATCATAAAGGGAAAATCAGTTATCGTAGTAAAAAGTTTTACAGTTATGCAGTTCTGGAACAGACTAAAATATATTTGTTACAAGAGATTTGATCTGTTGCAGAACTGCAAGAATGTAAAAGTTTTTACTACGATAACGGATTCTCCCTTTATGATATCGAAGAAAATTGCAAAACTAGTAGCAGTTACTGGAATAGAGCAATTATGTGCAACGCATAAATTCAAATTTGGTGGAAGTCGATTTAGAGTAAGATATAGCTACACTCGATTTTTAGGCCACAGTAAATATATGCATTAGCGTCGAATATATTTCAATTGATTAACTTTACAAAAATCCCCAAGACAAAGGTACATTATTTTCAGAAAGCTTTGGTGAGGTAGGCTATTTGGCGTGCCCTTATTTTAGTCTATTCATTGCTTGATAATAATGAAGATGTGTACCTAATTGAAATTATCTTCGATGCGCTGTGTAAGACTTTCTTGGTAATTACGCTATGACATAAATTTAACATTTGGATTCCTGATAGGGTAGGTAATACCTCCATCTTGTTTAACAAATTTCTCTGAATAAAATCCCTAATTTATATCGTAGTTTGTTTGTTTAATTAGGTGGCAACATTTGGTCAGCAATTAATCGATTAGTCGAAAGTCGGCCTACACATCCCTACTCGAGAAGCGGCTATTTTCACACAACACACGGATTTTAGGACATTAGTTAAAGAAATTAGAATTTTAAGTAAAATAATAAACAAAAAAGCACAAAAATGTCATTTATGAATCCTGTTGATATGGTAGAGGAAGATGCTGCCGATTTGCAGTTTCCAAAAGGTGAGAAAATTGCTTAAATTCCTCTTTAGAAAACAAGCGTCTTTTTTTGTTAGTGCCAAACAGATATACGAGTTGTGACAACAAGTCCCACTCTTTCGAGATGTGGTGACTACTTCAATAGAATGTAATAACATTTATTTTCAGCAACTTCTTCGCACAAGCGAAGGAAAAAGTGTAAAACAAAAATTATCACTGCTTTGGTAAATGTAGACACACGTTACACTGTGGCCACGTACGACCCACAACAATTGCAGCAATACTTGGAACAACAGCAAGAGCTGGCTGAAAAATCCAACAATGGTCCTGATGATGTGTCACAATGTGCAACATGTCGCACCAAACTTCAGGAACCCTTAATACGATGTGCCGACTGTGATGAGGAATTGTGCCTGCCATGTTTTGCCAAAGGTCGTGAAATTCGACAGCACAAAAACAATCATGCCTATATAATAGTTAAGGATGACATACAAATATTTCCTGGGCCGGGTTCATGGACGGCCCGTGATGAACGTATTCTATTGCAGACCTTGGAAACACAGGGCTACGGAAATTGGGATGCAGTGGCTAAGGCCCTGCAGTATCGGCATGATGCTGCTGCATGTCGGCAACATTATCATGATAATTATTTTGGTGGTGTGTTTGAGAAATTGTTGGGATTGCAACATGCCTCGGAGGCATATACGCCGCAACATACACCCTATGTAGTTAAAATGAGATCTGTTGATCCACCACGACATGATGATATCACATCCATGCAGTTTAAGTTAATGGCAGGATATCGCTGTGCCCGTGGGGACTTCGATACACCATACGATGTGACGGCGGAAAGTTTTCTCACAGCCATACAAGAAGAAGAGGAACGTATTATAGACCCAAGCGAAGATGAGGCAAGCGATATAAACACAGAAGAATGTTTAGACGAATTGAAATTTGCTCTGGTACAGGCCTACAATCATCGTTTACAGTAAGTGTACTCTTTCAATAAATGTTGAAGAAAATAATCGTTATTTTTTATACAGGGAACGTCAACGCCGCTACAAAGTAATGCGTGATCATGGTCTCATTATGACCAATCGTACAATGGGTTGGATTACAAAGTATGCCGATCCCCTACGTTCCGAAGCAAACTGCAAACGTTTTCTTGCCTTCATGCAGCTGTGCAAACCCATGGAATTTGATTTATTAATAGAGGGCATGAAATATTTTAGTGATGTACAGAAGGCCATATTCCGGTAAGCTTTAAAATATTAACGGAATTTAATGGAAATCCTAATGTTTTTTTGTTTTGTTTAGCCTCTACGAGTTACGGCAAAACGGCGTCCGAATAATGTATGGAGGATCCTTGTACTTCAAATTAAAAAAGAAACGCTTGTACGAACAACGAGAACGTCTAAGAAATGAACGCCAGCTTCATCAATACGATTGGAGAAAGTTGATACCATCCGATACTCATGTATTCAATGATTCTGTAGGGTCCTATTTCTTAACACCCACAGTAAATCCCCTGCCGCGTAAAAAAGCCGGACCAATGGATGTTTTCGGTGGGAACTGTTTGACACATAATCAAACAATATGTTGCTAATTATTTGTTCTGTTTTAGGTTTACCTGGTTTTGCCAAATTAAATGAAGCTGAACGCCAGCTATGTAGTGTGGCCCGCATTGTGCCACAATCGTATTTAGATTATAAAAATATATTAATAGCTGAAAATGCCAAAGTTGGTCATATACGTTTGGCCGATGCTAGACGCCTGATCAAAATTGATGTCAACAAAACAAGACAAATATATGATTTCCTCTTAGAGCATGGACATATTAATAAACCAAATTAAATTAAAATGATAATTTGTTATTATTTTTAAGACAAGGCGCTTGTTTTTTAGTCTATTTTTTAATTGTAATAATATTTAATTGTGTACATTTTGTCCTTTTTATATAAGAATTTGAAAATGCCGAAACTCTTTTAATATCGGAAGTCCACATGTTGTTGGATCATCGCAAACGACAAAACGAATCGGCCGATGAAGAACAAGAATTTTCCGAGGTGTTTATGAAGACCTATGCCTATACGGACAGTTTTCGAAAATTCAAAAACAAAGAAACAATTGCAGCTGTTAGAAGGTATTTGATTTGGAATTCATTTTGTAAATTAATTAATAATATGTTTTGTTGTATTTCTAGTTTACTAATGCAAAAGAAATTACACAAATTCGAATTGGCCGCATTGGGTAATCTATGTCCTGAAGCCCCCGAAGAAGCCAAAGCCTTGATACCCTCCCTTGAAGGTCGTTTTGAAGATGAAGAGCTGCGACAAATCTTGGATGATATCTGCACTAAACGTAGTTTGCAATATTAGTGTAATACATACTATCTTCAATATATCTATAAGTTTTTTTTGTAAGACGACCAATTGAAATTAATATAATTGTGGAGGCATTTATAAAACTATTTTAAAATAATCTAATTTGTTACTTTTCAAAGCTACTGACATCTTTATTGAAAGAAAATTTTGTATTTCGCCGGAGAGTAACATTAAAAAAATTTATCTCTAGAAGGCATCAAAACAATATAAGAGGCATCAACATAATGTATTGCATGAACGTGAATGTAGCCACTGGCGTAGTGGGATTCAAGAAACCAATACATGGTTTGTATAGAAAACAAATGTGAAAAATAGAAAATATCAGCAAACTTCAATTTTTGCATAAGTTTTTTGCCACCTTTGGACCAAACGAAAAAGTTGTTTTTATTTTTGTGAAATCAATTTTCACTTGCCATTTGATGTATAATTCTTTATTAAATCAATTAAATTGATTTTATTTCCACATTTATCAGTTCCCCTCCCCCGAATATTTCGCTTTTAAATAAAACCACACGTCGTTGGATGTTCTTAAATTTGGCATAATTTTAAATAGTTTAGTTTCCACCAGACAGCAGATGATAAATTTGGCACGTCTATCACGATGAAAATCCTGCAAATAAATTGTTTTTAATTAAATTTCACTCAGTTAACATTTAAAGGGCATACTTCGTCTGAGCTATCTGGTCCCTTTTCCACAACCTCCCAAATTTCTTCCATTTCCAGATAGGCCTCCAATGTCATAGACCAACCTTTGTAGTTTTCTGAGCCCATGAGCTTTTCCACCGTTAATACCAGTGTCATTTTGGAATCTGTGTAAGGGTGGTAGGAAAAAATTAATTACAAATTTAGTAAAAAAGTCTCGCATTAAACTTTTATCATAATTTTATTTTTATATGTTATTAACTTATTTAAAAATTGCGGTGTTTTAATTTGAAATTATTATATTATTTTCCGTACAAATTAAATTTTTTTTTATTATTACCTTTATCGGATTTTTAGACGTGTTGTTAGCTCAAGCTTATATTTTGTAATGCATTGAGCTTGTCATAAATCAATCGATACATTTAAAAATGCTTGAGCCACCAGAAAAAGCACAACAAAAAAGAACAACAATGTAGCTGATAATAAATTTTCGTAGAAGACAAAAACAAAAAAGAAATAGGGTCTGCGATATTCATACAAAGAGGGTATTGAATAGAATAGAATTAAAGATGTGTTACTTTTTCATCATTAAATCTAAAGACTCTCAATCATACACAGATAGCTTATAACATTTAATTATGATATAAACATATGAAATCTGTCCTTTCCTTGTAAATATAGGCAGTCGTGGTTGTCAAAATGTATTTTTTTTTTAGTTTTTTTTTTTTTTTTAATATAGTTTCTGTGCAAACCCTAATACAAAACCAATGACCTTTTAGCAGCTCTTGAAAATGCTCAATATACATATAATAGGAAATGAAAAAGAGCAAGGTAAAAATCGAGTGAAATGGACAAGAATATAGTTTTGAATTCTGCACCCCTTTAATGGGAGGAAATGGGGTTGTGTGTGTGCTAAGAAAATTTGTAGTGCAAATTTCCGTAATAAAAACCCCATTACATATTATGTTAGATTCACATGCAAAGTGACTTTTTTATATTTTATTATCATTTATTTTTTATATTTTATTATTTAAGAACATACTTTTAAGCGCTCGGGCTTTAAATGAATTATAATTACACTTCAAATTGTAAATTAATATAATGTTTTTAATATATTTAAATAGATCTATATTTTGTAAATAAGTGCCTGAATGTCTAAAGATTTGTTTTTTGAAATCTTGGACAAAAATTCCCTTTGCAAACCTGTAGGGATGACAATGTCTGCCTGAGCAAAGTCTTTGTCTCGTAGGTTCCAAAGTTTCGGCGTTTCTTGTCCCGAAACAAAATTTTCGTTAATATTTAGTTAAAGATAAACTCTTGGGATAGCTTCGTATGATTTAAATATATCGAAAAAAAACCTTATATAGCTAACATATTACAGCCCCCAAATTTTAATCATTTTGAAGGTGTCAGAATGATTTTTTAAACAATTGGGCAGTGGTCCCAAATTTCCGATTTAAGGATATTTTGATATTTAACAACATTTTCAATTAAAATTATTTGAGATTTTCCCAGGTGCATTTTTTATACCCTCAGCCATATGGCTAGAGAGGGTATATTCCATTTGATACGGCCAAAACGTGCTTCATCGAAATAACGGTTTTAGACCTTAGGTCCGTTTCAAGATATTTGGAGTCGATCTCGGTTCGTCCATCCGTCTATCTGGCTGGCTGGTGCACATGATAACTCTGGAAGGGAGTATCTGGGCAATGTCGACCCACTCCTTCCGGTACCTCTCCCACAAAATATCAACATTTTCAAAGAAAATAATTTACTGCACAAAAAGAGAAAGCATAATCCGATTTTGCTCCAACTTTGCAAATCCTAATATTTGCATCACAGCTAGGTCGGGTGCGAAAATGGACAATATCGGTCAACTCTATCAAGTACCTCCCCCGCAATGGGTCAACATTTTGAATATTCGTGAGGCTCGTAAAACACAAAATTTACATCCAATTCTATTCAGACTAGGCACATCTCAAAAAAAAAACATATTTTATAAAGATGGTAGAGATCGGACCATTCCTTCTGGTACCTTCCCTACAAAGGGTCAAGGTTTTGAATAACCAAAACGATCATAAAATCCGAAAAAGCATCCAGTCCTCTTCAAATTAACGATATTACATCAAGGTCTGATGTGAAGGTGGAATATATCGGTCCACATCTTATTACATCAATATCTGTTGTAAAGATGGTAGAGATCGGACCATTTCTTCTGATACCTCCCCCACATAGGGTTCGAGATTTTAAAAAACGAAACGCTCAAAGAAAGCAAAATAAACATCCAACTTTCTTCAAATTTCACACATCCAAATAGTTTTGCTAACGCAAGATATGTTGTGAAGATGATATATATCAGCCAAATCCTTCTGGTACCTCACAAAGGATCACAATTTCTAATACATTTATCTGTCATAACTTGCGAAACAAGTCGGCGCTTCTTTACAACTTGCTGCATCTAAATTTTTCTCTTAAACAGAAATCTGATCTGAATATGTAATTTATCGGAATTTATGATTTCGCCTAAAATTGGATATAAATGTTGGATTTTCTTGTAATTTTCCCCATATCAATATTTTTATCTGTATAAGATGAAGAATGAAAATAAAATACTTCGGTCCGCTATATATGTAACCTCACGCATATTTCCACATTTTCCCAAAATTTGCACATGTCTCATATAAATTATAGGAAGTAGCCGATATATATTCCAAATCCAAAGCACGTCAGTCAAATCCAAGTCAGTCTTAGGTCAGATACGAATTGGTCAATATTGGCCAACTGCTTCGGAACCTGCCCCATAAAGGGTCAAAAGTTTTGAATGATCATAACTCAAGGCTAGGGGTATACATTTCTTGGCAATACCGGCTGATACTCTTTTACTTGGTTTTTATAAACTTTCCTCGTCGGATGACGGACTCAGCTCGTTTTTTTAAATAATAAAAAATAATATTCACTTGTAATATTCATTTTCTTCTATTTGTTTGGTTTTATTTTATTTTGTAATCACATATTTTGCTTTGGGTTTTTATTGTTGTTGTTATTATTAAAATTTCACTTTTATCGTATCATGGAGTGCTGTTTCTTCAAATAGCCCCACAAATCTCTGGACGTACGAATAATGGCCATAAATTGGCAAATCTTAGTGTCGGTCAGACAAAGAATTATAAATTTGGCTCTGCGATCCTTATGGCCATCCTAATATCAAGAAAACGAAATCCAATTATTTAAAAGAATTTTCAATTAATGTAAATGTGTTTACCTCCTCACTACCATCGGGACCATGTTCCACCACTGCCCATAGATCTTCCGTTTCCAAATACGAACGCACCGTCATGGACCAGGCTTTGTAATTATCCAGACCACGAAGTTTTTCCACCTGCAAATGCAGAGCCATGATTACGTTGGAATTGTATTAGTCAGCAATGTTTCCTGTTTCGTTTTGCTTAGATTCTCTGCTGATTCGTTGGTTGGTTATGTGTTGCCCCTGTGTTTGACTTTTCATAAATAACTAAATATTGGTTGCACTGAGTGAATATGTAGACCACAATAATCTGAGATTTTTTTTTTTTGCTTTTGGCATAGGGGTAGAAAAGTGTGATTGTTATGGAAAATCCATATTTTCCCTTTTGTTTTGGCCCCACCCAACAACAATAAGCCATGTGAGAGCAATCAGGATTATACCGTCTGATAAGAACATGCGGCAGTGCAAAAGACAATGCATTGCAAGTGTTCCTCTAACACATCGCCGACACTGCTGCAATGCTGTCGATTTTTTTTGTTCTGCTTTTCGCCAATGTTGAACATGACCATGGCTTTCAATAAGTGATTGTTGTGAGAGGCATTGACATTGATTTCAAGTGACCCAATACCAGAGACGTCGAAAATTTTGCCATCAAGTGATTGAAATTTATGATGCAAAGAGGATATGAATTTGGATTTCCATTGGAGGTAAGATCACAACATTCAAATGTAGATGCAGCCGAACTTTGACTTCATGTGGGTGGAAGGGAATTTTTAAACCTTAAAAATAGAATAACAAGTAAAATAGAATCAGTCGTTTTGCCGGCAGATGTTTACCCCCAGCCTTGAGTTATGATTATTTAAACTGTTGACCCGTCGTTACGGGGAAGTTCCGAAGCAGTTGGATAATATTGACCAATTCGTATCCGAGCTAAGATTGATAAAAATATTACAACGTGCTTTGGATTTGGACTATATTGACTACTTCCTATGCTTTATATGAGACTTGTGCAAATTTTGGGAAAATGTGTAAATATGCGTGAGGTAACAGATATAGCGCACCGAAGTTTTCCATTTTCATACTTCATCTAGTATAGATAATAATATTAATATTTTCAAAATTTGAAGGAAATCGAACATTTATATCCAATTTTATGCGAAATCATAAATTCCGATTCATATCAGATTTCTGGCTAAGAGAATTATTTAGATAAATGCTCTGTTCCAGAACCTGCAAAAATCTACTATTTTAGCAATTTTCTTCGATACCATAAAGGGAAAATCGGTTATCATAGTAAACAATTTTATATTCTTGGAGTTCTGGAACAGGCCAATAGCAAGTTGTATAGAATCGCCGATTTGTTTCACAAGTTATGACAGATATAGATATTGGTAATTGCGACTCTTTGTGGGTGAGGTACCTGAAGGGGTTCGTAGATATATATCATGTGCTGCGTTAGCAAAAATATTTGGATTTGTAAAATTTGAAGAGAGTTCGAAGCTTATTTCGCTTTTTTCGTGCGTTTTATTTTTCAAAAGCTTGAACCCTATGTGGAGGCGGTACCAGAAGAAATGGTCCGATCTCTACCATCTTTATGACAGATCTTGTGTTGATGGAAATATTGAGATGTACCAAGTCTGAATGGAATCGAATGTTAATTTCGCATTTAATGAGCTTTATGGATATTAAAAATTTAAACCTTTTGTGGGGGAGGTACCAAAAGGAGTGGACCGATATATCCCATCTTCACACCAGACCTTGGGTTAATAAAAATATTGTGATGTGTGTAATTTGAAGAGAACCGGAAGCTTATTTTGGTTGTTCAAAACTTCGACCCTTTGTGGGAGAGGTACCAGAAGGAATGGTCCGATCTTTACCATCTTTATAACAGATGTTTTTTTGATGAAAATATTGAGATGTGCCAGGCCTGAATAGAATCGGATGTTAATTTCGCTTTTTATGAGCTGCATGGATACTCAACATTTTGACCCTTTGTGGGGGAGGTACCAGAAGGAGTGGAACGTATATCCCATTTTCACACCAGACCTTGGGTTAATAAAAATTGTGATCTGTGAAATTTGAAGACAATCGGACTCTTAAATCACATTTTATAATAGTTATAATTATTCAAAATTTTGACCCTTTGTGGAGGAGGTTCCAGAAGGAATGGCACGATCTCTACCATCTTCATAACAGATCTTGTGTTGATGGAAATATTGAGATGTATCAAGTCTGAATGGAATCGAAAGTTATTTTCTCGTTTTGTGGGTATTCAAAATGTTGACCCTTTTGTAGGGGAGGTACCAGAAGGAGTGGACCGATATATTCCGTCTTCACACCAGACCTTGGGTTAATAAAAATATTGTGATGTGTGAAATTGAAGACAATCGAACTCTTACATCATATTTTATATGAGTTATAATAATTCGAAATTTTGTACTTGATATTGCACTGATTACAAATATTAGAAATTGCAAAGTTGGAGCAAAGTTGGAGCAAAATCGGATAATCTTTTCTTTTTCTGTACAGTAAATGGTTTTCTTTGAAAATGTTGACATTTTGTGGGGGGAGGTACCAGAAGGAGTGGACCGATATTGTCCATCTCCGAACCCGATCTAAGTTTGACAATAATATTACAATTACCAAGTTTGGATCAAATCGGATACTCTCTTCGAGAGTTATCGTGAACACTAGTCAGCCAGACAGACGGACGGAAGAACGGACGGATATCACTATATTAACTCCAAATGTTCTGAAACGGCTGTGGCCGCATCAAATAATATATACTCTCTGTAAACATATGGCTGAGGGTATAATTATATTTTTCCCGATGAGAATAGGGCTCGCCGTAATAGAAATAGTACGCATTCACTTTTCAAATCAATAAACACCATGGTACAAAAAGGAGGTAGAACAGCTTCGTAAAACTACAGAAATACAGCCTTGAGGCTATGCCCACTTCCTGTCAAATTTGCATGCAACAAGTTGATTCCATTTATTCAATATTTTTCCTCATTTTTAAAATGAGTAAAAGAGCGGGAAATTTTATGAAATACCTGGACTTTCTATCAAAAATATTATCTAAACAGTTCTATCTTTCAATTCCATAGCAAAACCGGTCTACCCGTCTTCCAATCTTTGAATTGGAAAATATTCTGTTTTTATTTTTCAAAACAACAAATACGCCTTATTCGATAAAATACAGGCGAAAGTTTCTCATCTCTCATATTTTTAATTTTTGGCAAAAATTTAAACAACAGGATTTAAAGTCAATATATGTGCCCCCTTTCCTTAAATATAAACTACAATCAGAAACACAAATCCATGTGTATAAACGCATACGATCTCCTATACCACCATTGATACAACCGTCCCTTTTTACTCACCCCAATAACTTACATAACCTCAATTCACAATTACAAAAATAATAAAAAATTACATTTAAAAGCATTTATGAAATGATTTTTATTCAAAATATGCATGAGTTCTAGCTCTCTTTGATTTTCTTTCTTAAATATTAGGTTCACAATGCAGGTTTTGCACAGATTCCATATTAATTTCAGTTCACAGTAAAAAAATCCCTTTTCCAATCCCTAGATTTGAGAAAGCCTATTTTTCATTTGTCTTTCTTTTGCTCATAAAATAAGTTTGGTTTTTAAAGTATGATTGGACAATTATTATTATTTGTATATAATTATAATTTTTTTTGGTGAAAAATATTTGGAATTATTTGGAAAATGAATAAATATGAGGCGTACATATATGTGGGTATACTTGTGTGTGTGTGTAAATTTTACAAAACTAATATGGGAATTTATAGACAAAGCCTTAGTTAATAAAAAAAAAATGTTCATAAAATGGGAGTAAACTTTAGTTCTGGGCAGGAGTCTAACAAAGAAAGTAAAATTTTCTCGTTTTTTTTTAGGTTATGTTTTTCTTTTAAAGCACACATTTTTTGTCTTGTTTTTGTTTCCATTAAATTCTTTGCCGTATAAAACTATAGTTCCATCTTGTTTTCTTTAGTTCCAAGTCTAAAAGTTAGTTTCCTGAAATTCCTTTGATTGCAATGGAGCATTTGCCACTGTGTGGCCAGCACCATTTGTGTTGGCTTCATTTGGTCTTTGCTGTGAAACATGACCATTGGTTGCGGAAACTGATGCACCACTGCCGGCTATGTAAGCCACCACAGAGGCATGATCCAATTTTCCGGGCAAGGCAGCAAAAGCTGGACTATCAATGACACGTTTACGGGCAACTCGATGCTGCATGCGATTGAGCTCTACTTCTCGTTTAATGCCATCCGGTCCTGTGGATAGCTTATAAAACAATTCCCTTTGCTCTAAAGTCTTACGTCGAGCAGAGGTGATCATGCGCACAAAATCAATGAGCAAATGGCACAAACGTCTCGCCGAGGTACATGGTGAAAATGTACCATTTATTCCATAACTTAAGAGATCTTCCAGACGATAGAGAGTCAAGGCATGTCTCTGGGGTCCAGTGACCAATGGCAATCCTGTTGCTGATTTAGGTATTTTGGGTTTGTAATCATAGTCCCTTTGCTGTAGCGAAGGATGCAGGCCTGTCGACGACAACCTCCTTGGTTCTATGACAGTATGAGATCTCATGTATTTTGGTCGACTTGGTGCACTTTGTGAGCCGGAAGTGGCATTTTCGGGAGATGAGGATTTCTTGGTGCGTGGTGGACGGACAGGTGGCTGGGGACTTGTTGGATTGGAGGAGCCATGCAGACGGGCATAGATTGCCGAAGCACTTTTGTTTTGTCTCTTGGGCGCCAACACGCCGGTGTGGGGAGGTCCTGTGCCCGGTGTTGAGGGCATTAATTTTACATCTGGTGTCCAAGCCTCGGCAAATTTACCCACCACGGGATCAAAATTATCACTAATGCCATCCGAGGTGAGAAATACAATGTCACCACTGTCTATGATGGTCATGGTCAGGGTAAGGTTACTCAATTCCGGTTTATTGCCATCGGCAGGGCCCAGGGCCCCCAAGGCATCACGCATATCACGCATGGAGGTAATGTCATGGGAAGCTGTAAGACAAGAAAGAGGAAATGTTAAAGGATACTCTGATAAAAATATTTAAAAATATTTCTTGTGACTCACCCAAAGTAAACTCCCGCACACCATGTTTCTTGGAGTACACATAGCCCAGCGAATCTCCCACATTGCAGGCACAGACCACATACTTCTCACCGACACCTCCATCCGTACCATTCACAGCTACATTTTCATCTTTGGCTAAGGGTAAGACTACAGCTATTGTTAATGTACTAAGAGCACCGCCCACCTCCAAAATACAACCATGGCCCTCCCAAAGGCTACGCAGCAGGCTAACGAATACTTCTTGTGTCGTCGTGGCCATGCACTCCTGGGAATAGCCAAATATGGCACGATCCAAATAATCTAAGCATCCATGGACAGCTGAACGCGCTGCCAAACGGGCACCATCTCCCCAATTGACACCGTCCGCCAAGGCCATGGCTGCAGCGTTTCCACGCACCACCATGCCATAGCAGTCTGCAATGGGATTACCCATGGGTTCTTTGGTTAACATATTATTTTCGTAGAGTGACACCGATATGCCATAGGCCGCATCGCTTTCCATCTTCCAGTTGCTGACACCGGCAATGACATCTTCACTGTCCATGGCGGGAGGTTGACTTGAAACCGCCTCCCTTAGCAGACGTTCTGTGGTATCCTCTAGGATTTTTGTGGTTTCTGTGGCATCCGTTTTGAGATTTTCACCATTCTCTTTGGTCTTCTGATGTAGCAGTGATGTGTCTTCAGTCTTTGTTGTTGCTGTTGTTGTATTGGTGGTGGTGTTGGTGTTCAAGAGATTTTTATTATTTTGGTCATTGGCAGCACTGTTTTGCAAATCGGTGGTTGTTGTCGACACTTTGCCCGTTGACACCATACTCACCACAATGGTGGTGGATTTATTTAAATTCTCTTCATTCTTTTGGCTGGTAGACTTGGCCGTATCTTTGGTAGTTTGTGAAAGATTTGATATACTTGATTTGGAATTTTTCCTCGATCGCATGCCACCACCGGCAACCGCGCTGCCGTTTGCATTCGTTTTATTGGCATTCTGATCGCCAGCACTGGATGTGGCTCCCTGGCTAAGGCGACGATTACTGCCATAACGTTGAATTTTATGACTATTACTGCGACTCTGGACATTTGTGTTAATACTTTTGCGCACCTCAAAGCAATCGGTCTCCTGTATGGTATCGATGAAGTCAATGTCATCCGCATAACTGGCACTCAGATGTAGTTTTGATCTTTTGATGCCTGTCAGGCCATCATCGGGACCTGTACAGGCTGCGGTAATTGTATGCGGACCAGTGGGATATGAACCGATTTTCAGCTGTGGTAAATCGCTGGGATTTTGTCCGTGACTTATTTCTGGTCCGGGTGTGAAATTGCGATCCATGCGTCTGAGAGGGAGAGAAAAATGGGGATTATTAAAAAGTTATACGGTTCTCATTATTGCAATACAAAAGAAGTCAACAAAAGTTCTAAGGGAAGACTACAAAAGAAGATCTCCCAAAAATATCTTCGGTTAATCCATAGACCTGCCGCCTTTTGGAGGTTTTAAAAAGAAAATTCTAAATAAAAATCTTCCTTTTACTAGTTTTATATTGTTACTACTCTTTACTAGAATACTTGCATTTAAGACAAAATAATCGAAAATGGTAATATTTTGTTGCAGACAAATTGGTAGAATAAAGTACAATTGCCTAAAAAGTTGAATTTCCTTCTTATTTTGACATTTTTACTAGTTTTCCATTCCCGTGGTCTTTGAACGAAATAGTGCTCTCAGAGCGAATTCCACATTTCTCTTGGAATGAAACAGTGTTGTTAACTTTGGTTAGCAGTTATACGTTTTTTTAGTTTTGTTTTCTTTTTCTATGAAAATGTGAAATTAAAACGTTAATAAAGGAAAGAAATGTCATTTCTTATTTTCATAGAATAGAAATCACATTTTTATAAAAAATAATTAAGGCCCTGCTCTCCTAAATAAGCTCTCTAATTAAAATTCCACATAAGAACACCTTTTGGGTTTCCATATGATACCTTTTTTAATTTTTAATTTGTTTTTTAATTTTTTTTACAATTTTCCCAATCTCTTTTTTAGTGTAAATTTAACAAGATAATATGACAATTCATTTTCCCAACACTATGGTATACCCTTATCATTTACTCACCCCTCCAAATACTTGATTATAAAATTACTATCATCATCTGTCTTTCTGGGGCTTTTCGGACCATCTCGTGGTTCTGCAATGAAACTCAATTGCCTGAAGTATGTGGTGACCTTTTGTCTTAGTGAGGGCATTTTGGTTGGATGATAGCACGACGGATGATGCTGGTTATTCGTTGGTGGTGGTTGTGGCGATGGTGCAGCAAAAGATACTGCTGCTGCTGACTTTGCAACGACAATGTGCCTCAGATAATATTTTTTCTAATTTGAAGTTGATTCAATTAAAATCCTCTTGACTTGTAGTTTTTTTTTTGTTTGTAACTTCTTTTCGTCTTCTTTAGATGATGAATAACGATGAGAAAGAATTGCGTTTCATTTATGAGTAATTTGTCTTGTTATGAGCCTCCAAACAACTGCCCCAAGTAATGTGTCCAATTTGTTGTAGGTTTTTTTGTGTGCAAGAATTTGAATTTAAATTGTGCCACAAGAGTAATTAAAATCCAACTCGATTATTGGGGGACAAGAAACTTATATTTTTTGTCTTCACGTTTTGCGATTGATTGTGGCAGGCGAGTTCATTTACATTTTTCTTTTTGTTTTTTGATAATTATTAAATTAATTGCTTTTGTTGGTTTGGTTTGTGCTGTTGATTTGGTTTTTTTTGCCGCTGGTGCTTTTCTTACTTAATCAATTAAAAATGAACGAACTTTGGTGTTTAGTTTGCCTCTATTAAATCCAGCGCGAATATTTGTACCATCGCCAAGAAAAAAGATGATGTTTATTTAGTCTGAAAGTAAAAAAAACAGAAAATAGTTTATAAATATTAAAAAAAAAATTCAAAAATATGAAAATATTAAATGTATTATGTCAAAGATTAGGTACGTATAATTTCAAACTTGTGTTTATTTTAAAGAAAAGAGGGCAGTTTTCAGACAGCTGCCAAAAAACAATAGGAATGACATAAATTTTAAAATATAAATATTTTAAAAAGACAAACACTTTTATAGAAAAAAATATGACTGAGATTTATTCCTTTTAATCTGCGTTTACAAAAGACAGGGCAGTGCAGGTATTAATGGTCAAAATATCAAAATTTGTCTTTGTGGGGTAGGCAACTCGATAATTGCAAAGCTAATTGCAAAATTGTCAATGAAAAGCTTATATTTTTGTTTATTCCTATTCCCTTATTGATTTCTTATTCCTACTCTTTTGCTCATCACACATCACATCACATCAATTTTTTTGCGATTTTTCACATGGAATTAAAAAAAATCAATATTAATAAGCATAGATAAAGTAAACAATGTTCAATATGGAACATGTAGAACACTGTACTTTAAACGAATATTTTAGAGACAGATATAATAAATGGTATGATAAAAGAAAGTAATTTCTTTGTTTTTTACATATTTTAGAGTCCATTATAATAAATAAATCAACATTAATACATTCTCTCAATAATTTATCAAATATATTGTCATACACAAATCAATCATGGCTTTCCGGCGATTTTTACGTGGATTTGCTATACATTGTTTTCTTATTGGATATTGACAACATTGTTTCTCCCATTTGCCAATTCCTTCAGTTGTCGTTCGTATTAACGTCGTTGTCGGTCGCAAAGTGTGCTCGTTTATAGGAATTTGTTAAATATACGGAAATAATTACCTTTAAATAACAAATAAAAGTTTGAATAGTGTAAAATAATATAATGTTTATCATTTACAACAAAAGAAATTGTTAAATTACTGTGTTTTCTTTTCTAAATCTTTAAAAACAAATTTGCTCCGTTGCCTTGCAATGACATTGCAACTAGTGTTGCTCTTTTGCTTATGACTTTTGTCGTAACGTCGTGCGTGTGTGGTTTAAAGAGAGCAACAAGTTGTTGTTGCTGTTTTAAGTCTCTCTGCCGGTCGTTGTTTTTATATTCAGTAGTGAGTTTTAATGGTGTATCTTATTTATTTTAATTTAATTGTGTATCCGGCATTAAAATTTAATTGTGTATCCCAATTTAAATTTTTTGTCAAATATTGAGTTATAAGCTGTAAATAAATGCTTAATAAGTGTAGAATCGGAAAATGTTTATGGCTTACAATAAAAATATTTCTATATAAGAGGTTTTTCAAAAAAAAAAAAAAAAAAAAAAACTCCATAGCTTGCAATGACATCGCAACTATTTTCCTTTTCCTTATGAGTGTGTGTGTTATAAATAAGAGCAGCAAGTTGTTATTATCGGTCGGTAGACAATACAAGATTGTAAAGATATCTCTCCGTCGGTTATTGAATGGATAGTAAATCACTAATTAATAAAAATATGGAATGAAGTAAAAAAAAACGGAATAACTCGTATTTAACACAAATATATTAGCTCACAAATGATAAACTTAAATAATAAAGTTATTTCCATTCCACTACAACATATGGCAATAATGTCATCAATAATATAATAATTAAATTGGGATTCACAAATTAATCATTATTTCGTTGAGGCGATTGTTTACAAGAAATTTATTGTGTTTTAAACATTGACAACACTGTTTCTCCCATTTGTTGCTTCCTTCAGTTGTAGTTCGTACTAAAGTCGTGGTCGGTCGCAAAGTGTACTCGTTTAAATGAATTTGTTAAATATACGGAAATAATTATCTTTAAATTACAAAAAAAGTCGGAATAGTGTAAAATAAAATAATTTTTAATATTTACTATTAAAATACTTGTTAAAAGTATGTGTTTTTTTGGTAAATCTTCAAAAAAAGTTTCTGTCTGTTTTCTTCCAATGACATTGCAAGTAATGTTGCTCTTTTGCTTATGAGTTTTGCCGTAACTTCGTGCGTGTGTGTTTTAAAGAGAGCAACATGTTGTTGTTGCTGCTATAAGTCTCTCTGCTGGTCGTATTATATTGTCTATTTGGTGATTTTTTATATGGAGTAGCAATTTATTGTGTTTTGGTCATTGACAACACTGTTTCTTCCTTCCTTCAGTTGTCATCGGTTATAAAGTCGTGGTCGGTCGTAAATTGTGCTCGTTTATCGTAATTCGTAAAATTTATGGCAATATTTAGTTATAAACAGCAAATAAAAGCTTGAATTGTGTAAAATAATGAAGTGTTTATCGTTTACAACAAATATATTTGTAAAATTACTGTGATTTCTCTCATAAATCTTAAAAAAAAAAGTTTTGCACCTTTGCCTTGCAATGACATTGCAACTAATGTTGCTCTTTTGCTTATGACTTTCGCTATTACGTCGTGCGTGTGTGTTTTAATGAGAACCATGATGAGAGCAACAAGTTGTTATTATTGTCAAGAGATCACTTGGTCGTGTGATTTTGTATGATTCGATTAAAGAATTAAAAAAAAACAAATTTAACTAAATTCGATTTTTTTATTTGCTTTAATAAATTATAAAGTTTTTTTAATTATCTCTGTAAACAAAACAAAATTCCTCAAATTATTTTTTCTCCGTGTGTGTTTTGATGAGTGAAACATTTTTAACAGATCAATAGGGCTAATAGTGTGGTGAGTTTTTAGTACGTCTAAATAAAATCGTGTGTTATATTGAATATTTAAATGTCAACATTTTTTAAAACAAAAACGTATGTTGGAGTTATCGTTTAATTTCGGGCATCAATTAAAGAAAATTATTGCGCCACATAGTTGTTTTTCCAAAGTGGATCTCCTTCATATGACGATGCAATTCTAATTGGACATCAGAGAGGTATGTAAATTTACAAACTACCAATATTGATAAATTATAATAGATTTTATATAACCCAGATAGGGGAAGTGGAAATTAGAATTCTTTCATGGGATAACTATCCAGCAAAAGTACTCATTACAAAACTAGTTACCAATCCATTATTTTAATGTAGCACGATATATGAAGCCTTTTTCTGTCTATTCAAAGTGGAAAAATTAATACTTATATAACAACTTTTAGGGATCAAATTTGATCAAAAAGTGCTTCTTTAGTCAGCTTTTATTGGTAAAAAGACTCTTGTTAAAATAGTTGGTTGGTAATCAGATTTATAATGAATATTTATAATGAAACAGAGGAAGATTGTCCCAGGGAAGATTTGCAAATTTTCAGTAAAAAACAGTCGAACTTTATCTCTAGAATCGCTCGCTTTTGCAGAACTTTTGTGTTACTGGTGTACTGTAAAAAAACATTTCGTATTTTCCATCCATGTTGTGATTTGGCAGTTTTGGTTCATAGAGGTAAAAAAATATTCTCCTAAAATTTGGTATTGGTCCCTCTCGTCGATAACGCTTCCATATAACATTGACTCTCGATATTAGGGTTCAAAGGCTTTGCCCACAATTCGCAGTTCAAAATGAATCTCAATCGACTGCATATCTCCTGCTATTTTCAAAGGTTTTAGTTTTCTTCATTTCCACAACACTGGATTTAAATTTCAAAATTCCTACATTCGTAAAGGCAACTTATGGTGACCACTCCAAAATCAATTTAAATCATATTAAACATGAAAATTCCATAAACCTACCCCTATGAATAAGTAAAAACTTATTTTTCCCCAACTTACAAGCTAAGCACCATATGTCTTCCAGCATATCATATATAGAATGCAATGTAAATTTCCATATGTAATTGCGACCTTCACAGGTTGTCTACATTTGTTAATGACAAACTTCAAAAGCCCCTCGACATTTACATGCAACCCCAATTTTGTTGAATTCAAAGAGAGATAGACTACACCAACTCCTTGCCTAGGCTTCGTCCATTCAATGACAGGATGTAGTTTTTTCGTTTATTTACAACACTGCAACAAGAAGTGCAAAACTAAATGTTCTTATTCAGCGATTTAAGGCACAAGTTTAAATAAAACTCTTCTTCCTCCCGCACAGAAACTAAAGTCCGGATACGTACTACTACTACTCCTCTATTCTTGCTACATCGTCATCCCCATAGCGCCATATGGAAATAAGTTGCAACGTTGCAATTTTGCCACTCTTCTTCTGTCGAGTTTTTTTTGTTGTTTTTGTCGTTTTGTCTTGGTTACATAAACGACTAACTCATTATGTCATTTAAAGAAATGTAAAGACAACTTACATACAATGCCTCACACTGATGCTGTTGCATGCCGCCTTCTTTACATATTGCCTTAAACGCTCCACTGATAGCGTAATTACAGCGTTTTTAAGCTTTTCACAATGATACGCAAATGTTTGAGAGATGCATAAATAATGCTCCATTATCTACGTTGCATGTCTTGCCAAGATAATTGTCATCGTAATTATGATGATGACGACGATAATGATGATGATGACGATTATGGTAGTGCAGATAATGTCGGAGATAATGACAGTGAGAAAATGTTCATATTTTCTATTATATTAATAACAAAAGAATTGTATCCTTTTGTGGGAGTTTCGTTTATTATTTTGTATGGGAAGTCCAATCTTATGGTCTAGATCTGGAAAGAAGGTTTACATACAGGGAGTTCTTAACAAGTATAGAAATAAATTTTCTGAAAAAAATTCACATACGAAAAGTACAGTATTTTCCAAATTAATTAAAAATATCCAGGTCTTTGAAGAAATAGTTCGAATCCAAACAATTCTCAATGAAATCACATCCATAAGACAATAGTTTTTGACAAAAAAAGACACACTAATTCACATCTACGCTGTTAAAGTTCCTGGACATTTTAAAACTATTCACGCTTATGGGCTCCGATTTCCAAAGGTCCTCATACATAGATGAACCTCATGGACCAAAGAATTCGTTAAAAAAATCTTCGCTCATAAAGCCAATAGCTTTTTATACTGAT